AGCCGAGAGGCTTACAACAGCAGCAAGAACAACAACAACAACAACAACAACAACAACAACAACGATAACAACAGCAGCAGCAGATATTTTCGCTACTGTCACCATCTCATCATCAGCCGCAGCAGCGCTTCTTGGGTTCAGGTGTTTGCCTTGCCCGGAAACTCCACAACCCTTTAAGTGAGGAATGAGTCTTAAATCAGATCCACAATCCCTGTAGAATGTAAGGTAGAATTTCAACTACGAGGTTTAGGGCTTGCTGGCATGCTTGTCTTCGGTGTGCTTGTTTGTCTTAAAACAGGTTGAAGGCAGTAAGGTGGAGGGACTCTGTGAGGGTTTCAGTTCGTGAACAACTACCCCAACCCCTCAACCCTGAACCCTAAACTCTGAACCCTAAACCCCTCGATTGGGGGCTGAAGGGCTTCTGGCCTCCTTTACGGTTTAGGGCTTAAGGCGTTTAAGGCCTAGGGCCAGGGGAAGGGGGCAAAAAGCTCGACACTCTAAACTCCTAAACCCCCCCCCCCTCGAGCCCGAAACCCCCTTCTTAAAGGAAAACCCTAAACCCTAAACCCTAAACTAAACCCTAAAGTCTAAACCCCTAAGCCCTAAGCCATAACCCTCCTGGAGTCCCGCTGACCCAAAACTCGGCCAGGGCCGCAGCGTCTCCGCCTGCAGCTCTTGAAGCGCAGAGCGCGCGGCCTTAGCTTTAGGGTTTAGGACTCAGGGTTTAGGGTTTAGGGTTTTAGGGTTCAGGGCTTTGGGTATAGGGTTTAGGATTTAGGCTTGGGGTTTGGGACTTAGGGTTTAGGATTTAGGATTTAGGGTTTAGGACTTAGGGTTTGGGATTTGGGGCTTAGGGTTTAGAGCCTAGGGTTTAGCTCGATGTCGAAAAGCCTTGAACGCCTTAACATGCGGGGCCTCAATGACTAGAAAGAACAGGGTTCGTTTGGGTGGTTGTCAAAATTATGGTCCCTTTTTGGGTCCTTATTATAATACGGCACCTATTTTTTAGGGTACCCCAAAAGCGACCATAATTTTGACGACTACCCATTTAAAGGGATCCTTGATAGCAATCCAGAAGGCAACTTTAAGAGCTGTACTTAAGGGTTTAGGGTTTAGGGTTTAGGGTTTCGGGTTTAGGGGGCTTTAAGTGCAGGGGCCTTATGTAATAATTCGAAGAAGGTTTTGGGGTCTGTTCTACTATCATGCACTTATTCTGACCCCCACATTAGGTTGGTTTGGGCGTGATGGGCTTCGTTTTGGGGGGTCTGAGGCGTCTAGAGTTTAGGGTTTAGGGTTTGGTTTCTGGGCTTGGGGAGTAGATGTCAGGATTGTTTAAAGCTTTTACTTTAGGGGTTGGAGCTCATGCATTCTGACATACTTACGCTTTAAGAACTGTTCTCCTGCTTGGAGGATCATGGGAATTAGAAACTAGAGTTATTATAGTTACTTCCAAAACCCAATTCGGGCACTTAAACCTTACTTACTAAGTCTCATGATCCTCTAAGTAGGGTTATGATTGCTTCCCGTTTGGCTCCGTGCCCCAGATGCCACTGCACTCGAAACTCTGAAGCCGCAGCCTTAACCCAAGCCCTAAATACCCGAGGCCCGAAACCCTCCTTTAAGGAACCCTTCTGGTTAGAACCCTCAAGGTAACCCTTCAAGGAGGCGATAGTGGAACCCTTGAAGGAACCCTTGCTATCGCAGACTCAAGAAAGCCCGCGACCGTACAACCTCAGGCGACGGACCCTTTGAACTAATGTAGGGGCCCAAGTAATTAGAATAGGGTTTTGGGGGGTATACTATGCTATAATTGGAATAAGGACCCCCCAAAAGTGTATAGGTAATTAATGATTAAGGCTCCTATATTAGCCAACAACCCCCTCCGAAGCTAATATGCCGCCTTGCAGGACAAACGAACATCAGCCACTCGTACGAAAGCTGCTACAAACTACAGCGACTGTGTCACCGTGCCGGGAAGATATTGTGTGTGGCCTACAGCATAGATACTCGAAGCTGCTGCTCAATCGGTGAAACCGTGCTGGTCCAGGTGATACGGAACCCTTCATAATGAGCAGGTTCTTTCAGGGTTTGTGCGATTGTAGTTGTATTTAAAAAATAAACCCCCTCCCACACCGGTGGTCCAATTATTCAGGGACTCATCCCTAAACCGTAAACCCCTAAACCTCTTTACCAGAATTTTTTAAGCCTAAACCCTAAACCCTAAACCCTAAAACCCTAAACCCTAAACCCTCAGCATTTGTGGTTTAAGGCCAATGTCCACCCCCGACCGACCTTCGGCAATGCGTGGCTTAAGGCAAGGTTTCGCCTTAAACCGCCAGTGCTGCAAGTGAGCTCAGATACAATCCTTCGTCCATACGTGGTGGAAGGCAAAGCCTCGCTTTAAACCCTAAAACCCTAAAACCCTAAACCCTCAACCCCTAAACCCTACCTAAACCCCTAAACCCTAAATCCTAAACCCTAAACCCTACCTAAACCCTAAACAACGAGTTGCAGAAGGTTGGGGGGTCCAACTTGCCTTAAGCCACGACTGCGTCAGGGTCGGAGGTCCAGGCTCTTTGTTGGGCAGAAATTTAAGGTTTAGGGTTTAGGGTTTAGGGTTTAGGGTTTAGGGTTTAGGGTTTAGGGTTTAGGGTTTAGGGTTCATTCGCCGGCAAAGGCAAAAATTCGGAGGGTAGCTCAGGGATTCGTGGTCAAGAGCTTTGGGGTTTAGAGTTTAGGGCTGAAGGTCAGGAAGATTCGTGGGCAAAGGCAAAAATCGTGCTGTAGCTTCTTTAGGACTCGTGACTTCCGATACCAAAGTAGCGAGCTCGACTAGAAACTGCTCGATCTGGACTGCTGAACCCTGCCCTAAACCCTAAACCCCTAAACCCTAAACCCCAGAAAACTTAGGTCCGTGAAGCCCGAAAGGTGGCTTTAGGGTTTAGGGTTTAGGGTTGAGGATTCAGGTTTTAGGGATCTAGCATTTTTTGCAAACGGTTGTCATGTTTTGTAGTAAGTGCATACATATGCATATCATCACGCAGAGGCACATGCTGTGCTCTACATGTATTTGCCGTTCCATCCGACCCTCGACCGGGTACATCGTGCGTAGGGCCCCGTGCCCAGCGTTCATAGCTCATTGTTAATCTTCGGCCGGCCTGCCGGATGTATATACCCAGAGATGAACGGCAATGGAAGTAGGAGCACCCTAAACCCTAAACCCTAAACCCTAAAACCTAAATTTCCCTAAACCCGCACCGTTGTAGCAGCATCACGCAAAGGGGATACATCATGGCTGATACCCCAACCGTATGTCACGTGCTGCCCGCAGGCCGGTACTGCACGCAGGGACCCGGGACCCGAAATGACTTCGGGCTCAAAGAGTGGTTTAGGGTTTAGGGTTTAGGGTTTAGGGTTTAGGGTTTAGGGTTTAGGGTTTAGGGTTTAGGGTTTAGGTAACCCTTCTTGAACCCTGAACCCTAGGCTCAAACCCCCACCACGCAAGCCCCACACTTCCAAAGAGCAAGGGGAAACAAATCAAACCCTGAAAAGCCCGACATGCTTGTCTCAGCGATCCCTCGGCCTGAGGCGGTTTAGGGTTTAGAGTTTAGGGTTTAGGGTTGATGCTGCATCTACTTGGGTGGTTGTCAAAATTATGGTCCCTTTTGGGGTACCCTAAATAATAGGTGCCGTATTATAATAAGGACCCCAAAAAGGGACCATAATTTTGACAACCACCCACTTCGCTATGGCACCCGGGATTAAGTGAGTTCGCGGAGGGCGCAATGTTTGCCAGCGCCAGCATCCAACAGCAACGACGAGCAACCTCCCTGTGGCCAAACCGCACGCTTGCATCATGACAGTTTCCAAGAAGCACCAGCATCAAACAAGATCTGTGCAAGTGAGAAATGCCAACTGTCAAGTGCGAGCCCTGCAGCTGTCCTGCCGCACTCATCCACGAGGTTTACACTGGCACCAGCGTCCAGCAGCAAGCGTACAACCCAAAGGTGACCACCTGCGGCTGCGTGCATCAGGGCTGTCCTGCCCTCGCCGTTGCGGTAGTTTTTCTGTTTATGACCACCAGCTCCCAGAAGCAAACGTACAACCTCCACGTCACCCCTGTTAGATGCAAACATAAGGGCTGTGTTGCCGGCATTGCTCTGGCATTTTTGGTCAGCACCGGCTCCCAGCAGTAAGCTGACAATCTCCAAGTGACCATGCGCACATGCGAGCATTAGGGGAGTCTTGCCGGCAGGGGTATGGCAATCTTTAGCAACACCAACTTCCAGCAACGAGCGCACCACTTTCCCACGATTCTGAGCAGCAGCCTTTAGCAACTCCTTCTCGGCTAAGCGATGGTCGCTTTCCGAAAGCCCGGAGATGGTCAGCACTGCTTGCAGCTCCATGGATGCCTCCAGCTTTGCTCCATCACCCAACTGATTTCCCTCATGCAAAAGGATCAGAAGGTTCTGCAAGAACACGGGAAGCTCATACTGCTTGCACAAGTGCTTCTTCAAAGATGCGGCATTTGCGATTTCGTCTGCGGAGGCAGTCAGCTCTTGCCCGGAAAGCCTCCTGATACGGAGCATGGCGGCGGAAGGCGGTGATTTGCAAGTCTTAGCATGTACCCTGCGATGCATCTGTGAAACTTCCAGGGCCTCGGGGTTCAGCGTGATGAGTTCAACAATGCAGGGAGTTAGGGTTTTGGTATGCGAGACTTCATCTTATGGCATACCCCACAACCCGAGATTCTGATGCTATAAGGGCCCCCTCATTACAGGTTGACAAGTCCTGAAACCCAAAGTTCGTGAAACCTGAATAACCTACTTGGAGGATCATGGGACTTAGTAAGTCGTGTTTTAAGTACGCTAATTGGGGTCATAATTAGTTATAAGATTGCTTCCTTAATTATAACCCTGAGTAAGTCCCATGATCCTCCAAATACTGCGAAACAGCCACCAGCAGTTTTGGAGGCCTTCTGTCCAATCTTGTCTGGCTCCTAAACCCTAAACCTTACACGGCATAGCTTGTGCTTCTCGAAAGGAGCCGGGAAATCGGAGTGATCGCGGCAGCAGGGAGAGGGTCGTCGAGGGGAAAACCTAAAATCCATGAATGTAGGGGCCTTAATCATTAGATAGGGTTTTGGTGCATTTACTGCTAAAATTATAACAATATTGGTAATTATTGAAGCTTCTAGATTTAATAAGGAATTCCAAAACTAGAACAGGGATTTGGGGCATGTTCTACTACTATCACAATACTATTGGTGCTTCTACATTAATAAGGACATGCAAAATAGTATTGGCCTTAATAATTAGAACAGGGTTTTTTGGGGTATATTCTGATGTAATCATAGTACTACTGGCAATTATTTAACTCCTTATTAATGTAGAAGCTTAATTTAAGCTTCTACATTACTAAGGGAGTTCCAAAACAGTATTGGTCTTAATAACCTGAATACGGTTTCGAGGCATATCCTACTATGACCCTAATACTACTGTTTATTTCAGCTTCTACAGTAACAAGGAATTCCAAAATAGTATTGGATGTAATAATTAGAATAGGGTTTTGGAGTATAATATATTTTGTAGAATAATAAGGAACCCCCAAAACACTATAGGTAATTATTTAGGTTTCTATATGAAACAGGAGATCCAAAATTGTATAGCCCGCTATGGTAGATAGAGCACAATACCACCGAAGGATTAGCAAGCATCACGGCTCAGAACACCCTACCCTAAACTCTAAACCCTGAACCGTAAGCCCAACAAGCCTCGATCCTGCTCGGGAAGTCTGTGAAGGAAGAGGCACCATGGCTCTATAGGCGGCCCCACCGATGCACGACAGGACGGCTTGGGCAGTGGAGGAGCTGTTCCGGGTATGGGATTTCGAGTTCGCGGTCGATGGTCTTGGGTTGGGGGTTCTGGCATCTATGGCTCAGGGTGTGGGCTTTAGTGTTTGGGCTTCAGGCTTGAAGACTGCCCGCGGAGACCGATTTAGTATAGGGGCCTTAGTAACTAGGATAGGTTTTTTGGGGGGGTATCCTATACGTTATTTATCAAATAGTATTGGTAACTTTTTAGGCCCTAAACCCTAAACCCTAAACCCCTATATCAGGGTCTCAGGGGCCATCTGCCCCCAGCCTAAGGCGGAGGCCTTGAGAGAGCCGAGCGAGGTCCGGTGATGCAGGTCCGGTCGCGAAGGGCCGTGAAAAAGGGTTCCCTACTATAGGGGCCTTCAGAATTAGGGATTTAGGGTTTAGGGTTTAGGGCTCATGGGACTTAGTAAATGGGTTAGAAGTAAGGTACCCAGACTTATAACTACTTATAACCCCAATTACAGTACTTATAACCCTACTATCTAAGTCCCATGATCCTCCAAGTAATATAGAGGACCTTAGTAATCAGGATAAAGTTTGAACGTATACTACACTATGATTATAACGAAGGAACCCCCAAAAACCCTGTTCTAATTCTTAAGGCCCCTACATTACTTGGAGGATCATGGGACTTAGTAAGTAAGGTTGTAAGTACCCTAATTGGGGTTATAAGTAACTCTAAGTCTAGTTACCTTATTTATAACCCTAGTTATCCCATGAACCTCTAAGTAGGGGTTCAAGAGGGCTTCTAGATGGGTTCTTTCAGGGCCCCCTTCTTTATACAACGGTTCTATGAGGCCTCCATACTCGGGGTTGAGGGCTGGGTTTTTGGGATTTAGGGTTCGACCCGAAACCTCTGAAACCCTGTAAGCCCTGTAAACCCTATAAGCCCCACAAGCCCTGTAGGCCTCGCAAAACCCTGCAAGCCCCAATCCGTATAAACCTTATACCCTCGTCTAGAAAAAACAAAAACATCAGCTCGTTCAGGTTCCTGACGCTGCGAAGGGCAATGACGGTTCTTGGGCTAAGGGCTTTAGGGGCACTGTAAGGGCCCTATAGCTGTTCTACAAACGTTCTATAAAGGTCCTATGAGACTATATCTATACGGATGAAGGCTCACCTTTCAAGGTTCTATAGGGGCTTGATCGTATACACGCTCTCGAACTTAGGCACTTGATAGATCAAGGGACTTGCAAGCTGGCACGAAGGACAAACAGAACCGTGGCGGCACGAGCAGTGATGGCCATAAACACTGTTGATGCGAATAATACACGGTGGGAAGCCGGGATGGTGAGAATGGCGCGCTTGCTGCAGATCCTGCGAAACGACCAAAGAATAACAGCCAGTTCAATCTTCATAACTAATTAGCGACGTCCATGGATGATAAGCAGTGACGATGATAGTGCTGGTCGTCCGTGCCGCTCTAACACCAGGACCAGTATAAGAGTCATGTGCCCAACACTGCCACATTAAACCCTAAACCCCAAAACCCTAAACGTCTACCCCTAAAAACCCTAAACCCCGAGCCCTGAACCCTAAACCCCTAAACCCCCAAACCCCTAAACCCCAAACCCTAAACCCTAAACTCTCAACCCTAAACCCTAAACCCCAAAACCCCCTAAACCCTAAAGCCCTCCGTTTTCTTCTTCAGGCTTACGGCTGAGTCCGGACGTCTAGGGCACTGGTGCCAGCACGCATAGGGAACTGCACGGGGCCCTGAAGGTCGGATATTCTAAGGTTAGGGTTTAGGGTTTAGGGTTTAGGGTTTAGGGTTTAGGGTTTAGGGTTTAAGTACTTGGAGGTTCATGGGACTTAGTAACTAGGGTTATAAATAGGGTAACTAGACTTTTAATTACTTATAACCCCAATTAGGGTACTTATAACCTTACTTACTAAGTCCCATGATCCTCCAAGTATGGGCCCCTAATATGGACCCTTAGGCCTTTCTAGGGAACCCTTAAGGGTACGTATAGGGTCCCTATAGGGTATATAGTAGGCATTGGTAATTATATGGGTAGTTTTCTAAATCAGTGTCCCTTTTGATATTCGAGACCTAGAAAGGGACGAACTACCCATATGGGGCTTCCGGGCTCAGGGTTTAGGGTCAGGGCTTAGGGTTCAGGGCTTAGAGTTTGGGGCTTCAGGGTTTATGGTTTAGGGTTCAGGGTTTCGGGTTCAGGGTTTAGGGTTTCGGGTTTAGGGTTCAGAGTTTAGGTTTCGGGTTTAGGGTTCAGGGTTCAGGGTTCAGAGTTCAGGGTTTAGGGTTTAGGATTTAGGCGCTACGGGCATAGGCATCCATTATGTTTGAGCGCTAACCTAAACGTAGCAGCATTGGTTCAAGTTACTATTTCGGCAGGTATGGCAGGTGTTGTATCGGGACCTATAGACGGCTTCGTTCCCTCCTTCCATGCTGTATTCACTGACCTGTGCTCTTGCGGCATAAGGGTCCCTCAACCCGAAACCCTGAACCCTTGGATCTCGTGTCTCTTCGACCTCCCGTTTAGCAGATTCTTCCGCGATCCGGCACAGAGTGGTCATTAACTTGAAACGTGCTGTCGCAGCACTGAAGCTGGACACGCCCATGCTTTGAGGACATCGACTACGCACCGTGCAGCTGAAAAAATTCTCTTCGCGCCATATCTCCTGTAATCTTCCCACCATTGGGACTTTGACTCCGGTTTCTCGACTCAGGGCCCTTCGTCCGAAAGGCTAGTGGGTTTAGGGTTTAGGGTTTAGGGTTAAGGGTTTAGGGTTTAGGGTTTAAGTCCTTCTCTGGAATGCGAAAGGCGTTCCGATCTCGAGAAGCCGACATCTTGAAAAAATGCGTCGCGTATGCCAGTGAGTGTGCTGCTTGCAGTAGACGACAGATACATGTGCATCTGTGTGTGCCTCTACATAAAAGTAAGCACATGAATGTAACAACGATGAGTCTACATGTCCGCGCATGCATCCCACAAAAAAAGGAGAACTCCAGTCCCAAGACCAGAGCCAGGCACTGAGCGCACGTAGTGCTCCATCTAAGGCTACATTTCCCCCTATGAGCCCCATCACGCAACCCCTAGACCCCAAGCCCAAAGCCCCTAGACCCCAACCAAAAACCGCAAACCCAAGATCCAAAGTTGCAACGAGTACTGTGGGGGCCTTAATAATGAGAATAGGGGTTTTTGTCTATACTTATGATGAGGAACCCCCAAGATACGATTTGTACTTATTTGCTTATTATGATAAGGAACCCCCCCAAAAAAAAAAATACTATTGGTAATTATTTACTTATGATAAGGAACCCACAAAATACTATTGGAAATTAGTTAGGCTCCTATATTAGGCAATGAGTACGAGCAGCAGCCCGACTGGCATCTGGCGACGAATGCTTCGGGCCGGCCGCAGACGGCGTCAGGGCGCAACTCTAAGCCCCTCCCGTCAAGAAACCGAAGCCTAATGTAGGGGCCTTGAAGATTTGAAAAGGGTTTCAGGGGCTCCTTGTTATAAGTATAGTCTAATGTACCTCAAACCCTAGTATATGGTTAAGGGCTTAGGCCCTTAAGCCTAAACCCTAAACCCCTAAACCCTAAAACCTTAACCCTAAAACCTAAGCCCCTAAACCCCTAAACCCTAAACCCCTAAACCCCTAAACCCCTAAAACCCCTAATCCCCTAAAGCCCCTAATAGCAGGCACCCTAATGCCCTAGCGGCCGGTCCGCAAGACCCCAA